AGGAAATAGGCACAGGGATTATAAGGCTCTTTTCTTCCTTTTTCACCCCGCTGCTCCCTTTCCGCTCCAGATTGTGATTGCTACTCCTGGCCGTTTGATTGATGTCCTGGAGAACCGTTACCTTGTGCTGAGCCGCTGTACCTATGTGGTCTTGGATGAGGCTGATCGTATGATTGACATGGGCTTTGAGCCTGATGTGCAGAAGATTCTGGAGCATATGCCCGTCACAAACCAGAAGCCTGATACTGATGAGGCCGAGGACCCGGATAAAATGATGGCCAACTTTGAGTCTGGCAAACACAAATACCGGCAGGTTAGTGAAATCTGAATGCCTTTCTTTTCGAATTTAAGTATTTTAAGAAATGAGAACACCACTGGTCAAGTTTAACTTTTCATATAGAAACTATTTTTCTTAGTGTGACCTCCTCAATTGAATACTTTCATTTTCAATTGAACATGAGGTTGGCTTTGAAAAGGTTTTGTTGCCACTTTATTATTTGAGGGAGGAAGTTATGTATATCTTTTATGTACTGGAAACAACAATCATTAGAGAATGGTGGCCCTTCCAACAGTAAAATTCATAGCCACAAAAGAGGAAGCTTGATGCACTTCAGAGTGTAGTTTAAGCAAGAAGAAAGCATGAGAGAGATCAAATAAAAATTGGCATGTGAGGAATGGAGATTTTCATTGTAATGTCAAGGATATGTCCTGAATTAGAGAGGTTTGGAAGATGCAATGTGGCGCTTATAAGCATGACTTTCCCTTTCTTTTACCTTTAAGGAGAAGGGAAGTTCCATTCATGATTCTCATTCTTTCCCTTTCTTCTTCCCTTTCTCTTTTTCTCCTTTGCCCCCTATACAGACGGTGATGTTCACAGCCACCATGCCGCCTGCTGTGGAGCGCCTGGCCCGTAGCTACTTACGACGTCCAGCTGTGGTTTACATTGGCTCGGCTGGCAAGCCCCACGAGCGTGTGGAGCAGAAGGTCTTCCTCATGTCTGAATCAGAGAAGAGGTAATTGGGGCCATGGGAGATGCAAGCAGTGAGGCTCTGGGAACATCATCTGGGGCCTCAGGACAGGAGGGTTACAGCTTGCACTAACCAGGCCGAGTGCTTCTTACAGACAGGGCTGTTTGTGATGCTTTTAACAATTTCACCCCACTGACATCTTTTAGACCCCAGGGTCCTTCCTCATGGGTCTTCTTCTTCCTTATGTTCTCTCTTTTCCCTGATTTAGGAAGAAACTGCTGGCCATTTTGGAGCAGGGCTTTGATCCACCCATTATTATCTTTGTCAACCAGAAGAAAGGCTGTGATGTGTTGGCAAAATCCCTGGAGAAGATGGGTGTAAGTAGTCATCCTGTGCAGAGCTGGAGAGCTGCCAATCATGGGTTCAGATGGCCAACATATCATTGCCCTCTATTTTTAAGCATGGGAGCTTCCCACGACTTTTGTCATACTTCAGAAAAATGCATAATTGTTGAAGTAGCTCTGTCTTAAGGCCTGGTATAATAGTTGCCACATCCCACTACATCAATGTCTTGCAAGGTGATCTCTTGACATTGAGTCCTCACTAGGTGTATGAGGAGCGGTAGAGCAATTTGCCCTGTTGTCTTCCAGTCAGGCAACTGGCTTCCTTTGTCTTTGGAGGGAATCTCTTTCATGCCCACCTGCCTGCCCTCACTGCTTCACATAAACATCTGGCTTGACTTAACCCACTTGTCTCCTTCCTACAGTATAATGCCTGTACTCTTCATGGTGGCAAAGGTCAGGAACAGCGAGAATTTGCTCTCTCCAACTTGAAGGCTGGTGCCAAGGACATTCTAGTAGCCACAGATGTTGCTGGCCGTGGTATTGATATCCAAGATGTCTCCATGGTAGTAAACTATGACATGGCAAAGAATATAGAAGGTACATTATAAAATATTTTCCTTTCTTCAAATATGTCCTCCCCCTCCCCCATTATTGTCTGAACTGATAATGCTATGTAACAGAATTTGGAATTTGTTCCTGGTTTGAAAAGTGTTATTTCCTGTTTAATTGCATGGTACTTATTCTGAAAGCAGTTGTTATACTCAAGAAACTTTGTTTTTGTGCCTGAGGGTAGTACTATTATTTTCTTCAGTCTAAGCCAGGTATGGGCAAACTTTGGCCCTCCAGGTATTTTGGACTTCAACTCCCACAATTCCTAACAGCCGGTCAGATGGTTGGGATTTCTGGGATTTAAATTCCAAAACACCTGGAAGGCTGAAAGTTGCCCATGTCTGGTCTAGGCACTTTGTTTGTAATTTTCCTTAATGAAAATATGCGATATTTAAACTACAAAACCAAAGTTTTTGCAGTTTAATAAATCTTTTCTTGTAGAACCAATTAGGAAATAACATTTATAACCCAGAAACTCAGAGTGTAATGAACTGGGGTTCCAGGATGGGGAAGGAAGGGTACCATGAGCCAGTAGGCTAGGGGAAATAAGAGCCCTGGGCCCTGGGCTGATGAAGGTGTTGCCTCCTTTTAAGTCCCAGCATGATGTGGGTCTCCCAGTATCCCACTTTTGGGAACTGGCAGAATGTAGTGACAAAAAGCACAGGCCAGGAAGTCCTATGGTTTGCTTTATACTACTGCTGAGGGGTGGTGGGATTTTGCCTCAGAAGTCAGTTGTACCTTCTGGGTGTGAGCCTGTGACATGCTCAGCCACTTCCACTTTCTCCCTAAAGTAGCTCTGACAGCTTTGTGTCTTCTTGCTTACAGATTATATTCACCGCATTGGTCGGACAGGACGAGCAGGCAAAAGCGGTGTGGCCATTTCTTTTGTCACCAAAGAGGACTCTGCTGTCTTCTATGACCTTAAGCAGGCTATCCTTGAAAGTCCCGTCTCTTCATGCCCACCGGAGCTGGCCAATCACCCCGATGCCCAGCACAAGCCAGGAACCATCCTCACAAAGAAGCGGCGGGAAGAGACTATCTTTGCCTGAGCCCCACAGAGGGACTGCTTAAGATGCACCCCTCACTCCGACTGTAGACAAGGGCCTCCCTCTTGACTGAGCCAAGACTTCTCTAATTGGAAAAACCTTCAAAGAAAGTGTAAGGTGGTCCTCCCAGCCTCAAGTGCTTTCTCTTTAAGGAAGGCAGTGGGGTTTCCTATATATTTTTGCCCATTCAGATGTAGGTGCACACCTTCTTGCTGCAGAATTCAGGACCAAACAATGGGGACTTCAGCCCAAAGAAGATAAAACCTCATCTGGGAATCCTGATCTAGAGAAATCTCCTCTTTGTTTTTATTGCATCCAGTGTGTACCTCACTGCAGAAAACTTTTTGTATTTATACTTTGGTTGGGCCAGGTTAAGAATGGACCAGCTTTGCTGATTTATGATTCTTAGCTGGGTTAAATTCCCCTTTACCATGGATTTAGATGTTCCTTCCTTGATGGATGTCTCCCACCCTCTACTCCATGATCAGACCAGAGTGGGGCATGACCAGTGGCAGACGGGAGGGCCGCAGGCTCTCTTTCTTCCTCTGGAGAGAACTTGCCTCCCTCTGCCTGCTTTAGCCCTAGGCTGTCACTGCCCTTGCCCCAGCAGTAGAAAGAGGTGGATGATGTACAGAAAAACGGCTATTTTTTCAGTGATTTTGTGTGTGTTACTATAAATCAATGTGAAAAGTGCTCAGGCCTGTGTGTATTCCTTGATCCTTGACTTCTCAAAGGCAGAAATAGGTACTTAACTTCAGACACTAGCCTCTGTGTAGAAGACATTTCCCTGCCACTGTAGACCACCCTTGTGGCTTTTGAATGAAACAGCTGCCCTAAAAAGACATGCAGTTATAAGACTCCCTACTTAAAAAGAGTATTACCACGTAGTAACTTTTAACCATGTGTGAATGAGAAGTGGCAGCAGTAGTTGAAACATAATAATGCTTGAAGTGTGGCAAGTAGAGTGGAAGAAAGTATTTTTGTTTAAATCTCTGTGTAGAAACTTGGTTTTCTTCATCTTCCAGAAAGCTAGAACTGATAGATTTGATAGCCGTATTCTTTGAAAATAGTCTCCCCTCCCAGTTCAAGAGACCAAATAGTTTATAGGAAAAGAAGTGGAGGGACAGTTTGAAGGAACACCCTCCTTCTTTCAAGACCACTTACTACAAAATAAATAACGAAGGATGACAGAGCTGAGTCTGAAGTCATGTCTGAAACATACAGAAACCTGTATGGAAGGAACAGCTGGGAAAGGCTTAGGACCTTGTGCAAGAGATGGCTGTTGGAAATGCACGTATACCAAGCATGATACATATCCCAATACAGGATGCTGGGTGAGATCATCTTGTTGTAACCCTGTGCTTCTTGGGAGACTGTCCTTTGAGGTGGCTCTAGTTGACTGATTGGCTCAGTATCACAGCAGAAGTCAGAAAACCTTGTGCTGTACCATCTCTGCATTGAGGAGGGTGAATTTTAAGTGTCCATGCTGACAAAGCAGACTTCCTTTTAGTAAAGGGACACTTCCATGATAAAATTGTTATAGTGAAAACATCTAAGGTAGCAAACAGCAACCCTAAAGAAATTTACATGGAGTCTAGTTTTGTGTGTGTGTGGAAACTGGCTTTTTACTAAATTCACTCAAGATTTCACCAAACTGATGGCTTCATGATAGGGAGACTGAGGAAAAGTGAACTGATTCCCATTTATTTCGAGTGAACTCCTATGTAACAGCAATGCATTAGCCATAGAGCAGCTATGGAGATACTCAGTTTCACAAGCTGTTTAAAATATTTGCATTAAAAGTTGGATTATGCTCACTTCTGTTTTCTTCTTAAAAGCCAGTTGTAGCTGATTTGGATAACAGTAAGGAATTCTGGGAGCTGAATGTAAAATATCTGGAAGACCAAAGTCACTGTGCCATTAGTACTCCATGTATGCCATTCAAAAGACCAGCTGAATTCCAACCATGTGGATTTGCAGAGCCCATCTCCCCCTCCCCCTCCCGTGCTCCAAATAAAGACAGAACACCAATATTCTATAAACAGCAAATGCTTGTTGTTTCAAACTGCTTACAAGTTGTTGGGGAAAGAAGTGCCCTCTACAAAAGAAAAAATAATCGTAACAAAGCGGTTGCCACAGTGGCCAACGGAACGGCAGCCACAGGGACAGAACCCAGATCTCCCTGGGCCCAAAACCACCGAAGCTGAGAAGCAAGAAGCAGCTTCTCCCTCAGCTCTTGGCAGTGTAGGGCACGTGATTGACACTCAAATGATTCCCGATGACAGTGCGCAGTATATACAGGCTGATTTCAGATAGGTGTACGTGCTATTTAGGGGCAAGGGGCTGCCGTCCGCTGCCAGTGAAATGCCTGGAGGTGTTAGGGTGGGCAGGACAGAAAGGCATCAGGGGTTGGAGGGGCTGTGCATTAGGAAGCAGGCAGTGGGGTGGGCTCTGGCCCAGCTCTTCTTTCCTCTGGACAGGACCCAAAAGAAATGAAGGTGGGAGATCACTCACCCAGCACCTCTCCCTCTCCGCCCCACCCCGAGACTGACTATGGAAGATCAAGGCCTCATGCAGTTGGCAGAGAAATGCGGGCAGGGTGGGATTTTTAAAAAACACACACATTGTGGCTTTACAATGTCTTTTCCTCCACCAGCTCCTCCACAGAGTTGGTGTTGCTGTGCACAGACAAGGAACAGAATCCACATGAGAAGGAAAGGAAAACAGAAAGGTCAAATCCAGGCTGAGCCTCTAGACTGCCATGCCAAGGAAATGACAACTCACTCATTCTTTCAACCATGTCAGAAGCCAAGTCAAAGTTACTCTCTCCAGCCCGGAAACAGCCATTTTGAGTGCACAGGCTGCTGTTTTCCCCTCTTCACTACCCCACCTTTTACACCTGTAGATTTCTATCAGAGAAAAATCAGCTGCCAGAGACGTGTTTAAAGTGGATCCAGACTAGAAACTAAGAAGCACCACTTCCCTCCTGGAGCTCTCCTGCCCAAAGCGACAACCTCCCAAACATATTTTTATTGGACCAATGCTAAAAAATAACAACTTGGGGTGCTGTCTGATATGCTTTTGTGTGAGCCTATTCAGCACCCCCACCTTCCAAAGAATCAAATGAAGGGCTCTCACTTCACTTGGGGTTGAGGCAGGAAAAAAAACTTTGGTTTGATTTTACTCAAAAGCATGTTTTGACACATTGCAAAATTGTGTTTTAGTATTTGCTGGAGCAATGTGAAGCAAAGGTGACACAGCTCTCTCTTCTTGGCTGCGGCTGCAAATAATTAAGTTAAAATGCAGAGATCCATTGTGTACCTTCAAATTGTTTCCAACTTATGGCAAATAGGATTTCTTGGCAAGATTGGTTCAGATGGGAGCTTGCCTTTGCATTCCTCTGTTGCTGAGAGTGTGTAACTTGCTCAAGATCACCCTGTGGGGTGAGCTTCACATAATTTGCTATCGTCCTTTTGGATCCTATCTTATGTCTCCATTAATGCAATATATAAAGGTGGACTATATCAATAAATACTACAGGAAAGATAATCACAGAATGTCTCCTGCTCCTTTTTTGTATTTGTAGAGAGACAAAAAGTGTACCAAAAACTAAAAGTTGAAACAAATGCCTAGTCTTTGTCCTTATGATTCCTTTCTGCATACAGGAATTTAAGAGCATTGCTGTGTGATAGTTCCCAGTCCATACCACCTGAAGTAGTACAGGCCAGGATAGTTCTCACTCATCTGCTGCTTATGGTCTGTGAGGCACCAAAGCGTGTGCAAAAAAGGATCACCAGTATCAGAGCTCACACTCAGGGCCTTCTACCCGCTTCAACTGTTTGAACTGACTTTCTTGTGCCTTCCTCAATCATGGGACTACTGATTGCAAAACAAGGATTAACATCAAATCCTAAGGCAGGGCAGAAACCAACTTTCTGTTTCTTTTGCTCATAGCATTGTACTTAACCCACCAGGCAAGCCTTTCACAGCATGGTACCCTTGAAGTGTGCTAGACCATTTGTGGTTGTGTGTTTCCCAATGTATGGCAACCCTAAGGCTATCATGAGGTTTTCTTGGCAAGGTTTGTTCAGAGTATGCTTTCACCTTCCTCTGAGGATGAGAAAGTGCAACTTCCCCAAGGTCATCAGGTGAAGATTTGAACCCTGGTCTCCCAGAAGTCTAGTCCAAGACTCAAATCTTTGCACCACACTGACTCCTATGGTAGACCATAACTACTTTTAATGTCCAACAACTGTAGCCATTCTGACTGGGGGGAATGATTGGCTTTGTAGTTCCCTACATCCAGGAGGGACCCTGCTGAGAAACATTGCACAAGGACTAGAGAGCAAGGTGCTCTTGCGCACCCATCCTCCTTTGCTCTAAGAATGCAGCCCTCTTCTCCACAGAGCCAGAAGAACAAGAAAGCCACATCTTCCTAGTTCCTTTATCTGAGCCACGTTGTCTCTCTCCAAGAGATCCAGTGAGCCCAACTCCTCCCCACACTTTGCTGCCTGGAAAATGGAACTGGGATGCAAAAGCTACCAATGGAATTTACCCTGCAAGGATATTTACCGGGGCCCTCATCATTGACCCCTAACCAAGGTGAATGAGAGAATTCCCCCAACCTGCATGTAGGAATCAGGCAGCTGTGGCTGAGTTCAGAGGGATTCCAAAGATAGCACCTGTATTCTGTGGGTCTCAGCTGGGTAGGAAAAGAGAGGAGGGCTTGGGAGCAGGCAATTGACTCAGTCTGGGGGCAACGGTGGTGGCGGGGCAGAGGCGGCAGCATCCTTCTTCCACCTCCCCAGCTGCCGGGCCCATGGGCAGGGGGTGTCCAGTCAGGGGGGGTTTCAGTAGCTGTCCTTGGCCCAGGGCCGGTTGCGCTGCCAGTTCCTCTCATTGTGGTTGTGCTCGGACTCGCGCTCCAGGAGGCGGTCCTGGGAGTCATGGCCGTTGGTGCTGTGGAGGCCGCTGCTGTGGTTGCGGTGAGGCTGGTACAGGTCGGTGTAGGCGTCCGAATACTCATCCTCCAGGTGCCGGGAGCCACGCTGAGACGAGGCTGTCCAAGCCTTACGGGAGGCATCACTTGTTTCGTCCGACTGCATCAGGCTGTCGTGCTCCACTGGGGAACGCTCAGTGCTCGGCTCGCCCTGTGGGGCCTGGTTCTGGGAGGGAAACAAACAGGGTGTCAGGTGACAGTCACAAAGCCCTCTTCGCAAAGGAATCCCTCCTCCTTCTTCTCCCACCACCGCCAGCCTGGCTCTTGTTCATCCAAGGAGCTGTTCCACAATTGCACCCTGTGCCCCTGGCCTAAGGACAGTCAACTGCACCTGTGTAACTTAATTCATGATTATGGCTGCTACTCTATGAACATTTATATGGAAATCTCCTGACTCAATACATCAGAATTTATTTGTGAATAGGATAAAGTGTTGGCATGAAACTATTTTCAAGAACTATCTTAAATGAATCTTCAAAAAGAGCAATCTCAGCTGGATTGTGACCATAAGATTTAAGATTTAAATTGTTTTAAATTGCTTTTAAATTTTGTTAGATTTTAGCTAGTCTTGTAAGCTGCTCCGAGCCCCAGGGGAGTGGCGGCATATAAGTTTAAATAAATAAATAAATAAATAAATAAATAAATAAATAAATAAATAAATAAGACTATTTCAAGGAGAATTCATCTGGAATATCAGTATACCAAGTGATCTTGGGGCACCTTTAAGACTAGCTGAGAAAAAGAAGCTGGTAGCCTAAGCATCATAGATGCTAAGACTACTTCCTGAAATTCAAAGCCCATACTTCCAACATAGTTCTCTCAGTTTCTAAGGCACTACAAGATCATTTTACATTCTGATATTTCACTCAGAATATGTAAAGTTTTTGTTGTTGAATAGGCAATATAAATCTACAGCTATTACCTCAATGTCTAGTTGGAAGATAGGTTTGTGGGTTTGGACATTTCTAGTGATTTGGGTACTGAAGAGGTACACCCAATGCAACACAATAAGCACACTCATTAGAACATAGTCAAAAGGGGGTGAGAAAGGCGGGGTAGAAATGACCGAAATAAATAAAATAAATCAAACATTAAAGTTGCCTTTGATGCCTTTCTTCAAGCTACCAAGTCTTGTTCTACACAGAGCTTTTAACTGTTCCTAGAATATAATTCATTATAAAGATTGTGCACATGATTGAAACAAGAAATAGGAAATCTGTGAACCTCTGGCCCATTGTCAGTGCCAATTTGGCTTGATGGGCCAAGGAGTTCAACAATTCCTATAAGGCCCATCTCCAGCTCTTACCCTAAGCAGCACAATTTCCAGAGTTTTCAGGCGTAGAATATAACCAAGTCCCAGGTGCTGGGCTGGCCAAAGAGGCTAGCCAGCCTCCCAGAAACATCAGGTTTATCCTCTATTAGCATGCTGGTCTAGTGAGATTTTGGGTGTGATTCAATAGCGCTTTCCTTTTTCCCCCATACCTGCAGTCCTGGGATGGCAGTAGAAGGTGCTATGATGTTCTGGCCACCGAGAGTGTGTGCAGGGTGGTGGGTTGCCCGCCAGTATACCTCCAGGTACTCGGACAGGTGTTCACAGGCATCTTCCAGCTGGTTCTCATCCAGGATCACATCAAAGAGTTCCTTGGCGGCGAAGGAGGAGGGGGGATATGGGGGGAAGGACAAGAAGCAAGAGTAAGAAGGAACAAGCACCTAAATAATCAAAGTGCAAGCTACATCATGCTAATGGCCACCAATGAGTTGGACTAGTAGCTGGGAAAGATGGGTATGAGTTGTAGTTCCATTTATCCAGGGGACAGGAGCTTGGAAAAGTTTAGAGCAGTGACATCATAGGCAAAAGAAAGGGCAAAGCTTACAAAGTTCAGAGGTGAGTATCAAGAAGTGAAGGGTGCTAATACAACTATTAACAAAGCTGCAGCCTTTAAATGTTTCCCAGTAAAGTGCAAGTGCAATGGAATGGCATTCTTAGAACATTTGTTAAATTATCTCGAGCCAATGCAGGCTGAAAATCTGAAATACTCCAAAATCTGAAATTTTTCATCTGGGTGGCTGAGATAGTGACACCTCTGCTTTCTGATGGTTCAATGTACACAAACTCCTCCATGCAAAGAAAAAATTGAAAATACTGTATAAAATATTGTCAGGTTATGTGTAAAAGGTGTTTATGAAGCATACATGAATTCCATCTTTAGACTTGGGTTCCATCTCCAAGATATCTCATTATGTGCATTATTTGCAAATACAGGAATCCCAAAATCCAATGCACTTCTAGTTCATTTCAGATAGAGGATATTCAACCTGTACTTAATCTGTACAAGGCAGAGCTATTAGGGGGATCATAATTCAAGGATACTAAATGGCTAGGACGGCCTATGGGTTTGTTTTATATGATTGGATTAGTATAATTGATTTTATTGAACTTTGTTAGAGTTTACAGCATGTCTAATATTTATGGTGTTAACTTATATATTGTATGTTTTATTGGCTGTAGCCGCCTTAGGCCCTTGAGTGGGGGAAGGCGGGATATAAATGTCTTAAATAAACAAATAAATTTGACAGTAGAATGTGCTCCTGGGAGCAGAGTGGAGAGACTTTTCTTCTCTGGAGAGACTGGCTGGCCATCTTGTGTATTCCTGCATGGCAGGGGGATTGCACTAGAGGCCTTTGGATTTTCTTCCAATTCTATGATTTCAATTTTGCATGCATATCCCTATCATTTGTCTTGTAACACTTCTTAAGGATAGGTGAGCAAGGCCAGACTGTTGCTGTACAAGAGTGTAGGAAAGGCACTCTGTACATGCTCAAAAATACATGTGTCACGGAGTATTATTTCCCACCCATTTCTGCAGAGGAATGATCATAAGTGAGAGGAGCATCTCCCATCTTCTCAGACTACTGAGGGGGGTGGGTTAGAAACAGGTGCTGTGCAAAAAAAGGGGTCCAGCAGGTGAGTGAGGAGTGCAAGCAGCAGAGACCAGACAGGAAGAGACAGCATACATCGCACCCTTCTCTTGGAAACTCACGGGAGGACACTGCACAAGCTTGTCAGCAGCCATCATCTGCACATTGAGATGCTTCACCTGTGATTTCCCTCTGGACTTGATCAGTCGCTGCAGCACCTAATATCAAAATAAAAAGAGGCAGAATCAGAAGGCATCAAATGAGCCACTAGACTAGATCAATGTGGGTGTCAGTTCCCCAGAAAACTCCATCCAGCAGTTGTAGTCCAGCAACCATTACAAACACTTCTGCTCTAGATGTTGAGCTATGCAGTGTACAGCAAGCCCTGCAAGCCACTATGAGTCCTCTTTAGTGTGATAAATATAGTCAATAAATAAATTATTTATTTATTTATCGTGCCAGGAGCAAACCAAAACAGTTGTATTGCATTAAAAAACAGACAAACAAAGAAAACACAAACATTTGCAGACTTGGTATTTTATTAAATGTCCTTTGACCAGTAGCTGGCCACTTGGAGTGCCTCTGGTGATGCCGCAAGGAGGTCCTCCACTGTGCATGTGGCAGGGCTCAGGTTGCATTGCGGCAGATGGTCTGTAGTTTGCTCTTCTCCACACTCGCATGTCGTGGATTCCACTTTGTAGCCCCATCTCTTAAGGTTGGCTCTGCATCTCGTGGTGCCAGAGCGCAGTCTGTTCAGCGCCTTCCAAGTCACCCAGTTTAATAAATAATAAATACTACGAAATCATTTGGTGTCACTGTCTCTCAGCCTGCAATGCTACATTTATTAATCTCTACCAAGCTACAAGGCTGTAAGAGGACATGGCTTCCCTGCATGGTATGGGGGGGGGGGGCTATTGGCTAATGCTGGTATCTCTTCTTAGGTTGCAGAAAATGGAGTTAAATAGTATTACAACATATCCTCCATGTTCTCCTATAAGGTTGTGTCAGATTTGTGAGTGGATTGCCTGACATCTTCCTATTGGATAAAAAGCCAGCAAGATAAAGTGCTTTCAGCACTAAAGTACCACTATAAAGTAAAGACCAAGGTTCAAATTTCTGCTCAGCCATGGAATCTCTGTGGATGACCTTGAGCAAGTCACACTTTGTCAGCTTCAGAGAAAGTCAAAAGGCAAAACCCTGAACAAATATTGGCAAGAAAATCCCACAATAGGTTTGCCTTATATCGGGAAAACAACTTGAAAAGCATAAAGCAACAATAAAGCAACCACTGCTGCTATCACCATGGCTCTTGCTGCTAGAATTCATGAAGTAAAGAAAATGTGAGGAGAACCATTCAGAAGTCTCACATATAATTTCTAATTTGCTTCCAAGGTTACTGAGGTTTTGCTAGGCAGTTTGTTGATTAAGAAGGATCACTCTACCAGAAGGTCAAAGAATGGGAGAAATGCTCTTCTCTGGCTAAATATCCAAAATAAGAATTGCAAGGTCTGCAGATGAAGACTTGCATTTTGAATATCACCATTAAATCCAAAGTCAAGATAGTTGCACTTTCTCCAACCAACCCACATATCTGGGTTCTTACTGGATTGATTGCACACCACCATATCTCCTGCCACACATACCAGGATATTAACAGCCAGAACAGATAAAACTAAAATCCAGGTACAGATTTATTACTGGACTAAAATGTGGCACAAAGGAGCCACTGTGATGCAATGGGTTAAACTCTTGTGCTGCTGAACTGCTGACCTGAAGGTTGGCAGTTCAAAATTGCGAGATGGGGTGAGCTCCCATCTGTCAGCTCCAGTTCCTGCCAGCCTAGCACTTCAAAAACATGCAAAGTAGATAAGATCAGCGGGAAAGGGCAAAGAGATGCTTCAAGCAATCTTGTCAGTTACACAACCCGGAGGTGACAACGCAGGCTCCTCAGTTTGAAAATGGAGAAAGCACCTCCCCAGAGTCAGAGATGAGTCTCTAGAAACCAGAAAGGAAAGGAGAAGCCTCTGCCTTTGTTTGTGTTTGTGTGTCTCATTGTATATGATTGTAAAGACACTGAATGTTTGGCTATGTATGTAAATGCTGAAATCTGCTCTGATTCCCCTAGGGGAGAACTTAATGATTTGTAAAATCAGTTTTTAATTTATAGATAGATAGATAGATAGATAGATAGATAGATAGATAGATAGATAGTGTTTTCCAGGAAAATTAACAGAAAACCGAAAAGATTGCAGCACAACCTAAACATCTCCCAATGCAACACAAGAGGGCAGTAAAAAACAGAAGACAAGATTCTGGGATCCCAAACAAATGATGCTTCAAGTCACAGGAAAGAGTGGTACATACAAGCTTTGCTTACCTTTGGGGAGGAGACCTTGACGTAGACAATGATGGGGGCCAGCGAGGTTTTGGCCAGCTGTGCGGGGTGGTTGATAGTGTCTGCATCCAGCACTACTAGCTGCAGTGACTTGGCCAGTTCAAATATCCGCTCGATCTCACTCTGGACCTCAGCTAAGAAGAGACAGGAAAGACTGTAAGCTGGACACCCCTCCCCGACCAACATTATTTCTGCCTGTCATCAAAGCAAAGAGGTCTCCCTCCCTGTTTCTCACTTCCATTGCTCCTTGCTGCGAAGGCCCATCTATTTCTGCTTTGCAAGAAGCTATAAGGAAGGACAGAGAAGAGTCTAAGACCCTCTTCCTTACTCCCAGCTGAGAACCCTCTTCCTTACTCCCAGCTCCCTGTCCTCCTATTTTGATCTCATTCTTTCCCTGGCATCTGGCAACAACAGTTTCAGGAGAGGCCAGCTGATTAATCTAAGTAATCTGTAGCTAATAATTAGTGTTTGTGTTTCTTCCCTTCCAGCTTGCTTCTATTTTGTGCTGCTTTTTAAAGACTGCTTTAAGAGCAGGAAACCAGTGTGTGGTCATACTCTGAGGGTTGGACTTGGACCAGGGTTCAAATATCTGCTCTGTCATGGAAACTCATATAATAATAATAATAATAATAATAATAATAATAATAATAATAAATTTATTTATAGGATGGCTTCTCTCCCCAGGGGACTCAGGGTGGTTTACATACAATATGTAAACATTCAATGCCATAATCAAATTCAAACACATCAAAATAATACAAAAAATACAAAATAACATCAGTAAACTTACAACAAATTAAAGAATTAAGATTAAAATAGGAGAAAAATACAAATACATAGCAATCTTGGACACATTCCATTTTCTCTTAGCCCCAGAAAAGCAATGGCAAACCTCATATGAATCAATCTTGCCAGGGAAACCCAGGGAGATGATCTCAATAGGTTGCAGTTGAGTTGAAGGCACTTAATAACAAACCCTAAGGACAGGGACTGGCTTATTACTAAAATTCACTCGCTACCCTGGAAGCCTTTATAGCTAAAGAGCAAACTTTAAGTAACTAAGTGAAACTGCAAAGAAGAGGAAGAAGAAGAAGAGATGCAAATTAAGGAGACAGAAGACCCAAGAACAGAACCAAAGAGGGATATTGGGACATCAGACCACTATAAGGGTTGAAAAAAAGAGTGGGAGATTAGATGAGAGGACAAACTGCAGTTTTGTTTTTCAACATATCGAAACAGGGAAGGAGAGCTAGCATGGAGTAATGATTCTAGAGAGCAGGATCTGATTCCTCACACAGCTATGGAAATCCAAGCCACAATCTCTCAGCCTCCAAACAAAGCAAAGGCAAATCTCCTCTGAACAAATTTTGCCAAGAAAACCCTACAACAGGGTGGCATTTGTGTCATCATGTCAGAAATGACTTGAAGGCACAAGGCACAAAGGGAAATGGACAACGGCTTTAATAGAGCTAAAAAAACATTTGATCAAGATTTTAATTTCCTGTGGTACTGCAGGCTTATTTTCTGCCTTGCTATATCTAGTCAGAGGGGTTGTACAGATTTTGGTGTCATAACAAAGCTGTAAAACTGGTTTTGTAGAAATGAAAGACACCCACAACCAGCTGTGGACCTTCCTTCAATTGCCCTCAATTTTCTGGAGGGTGGGGGAATCCAGATCACTTCTACATGTTTTCAATCTGAACTAAGTATATGTGCATGCTTTAAAGAACTGACAGTGCTTGGTTGCAATGTTGTCACTAACACTGCAATGCTATAATGTCACTCCTGGAAGGAAATCCCATTGCTCTCAACAGAGTTTACTTTTTAACAATATGTATCTGGGGATCCTGAGTCCGCCTAGGTGACCTTAGACAGCTTATTTTCTATCAATTCCAGCTGGAAATCCTGAAGAACTTTGAAACTTTATTTGTAATTTACAAATGTGTTTGTGCGATAACAAGATAATTTTGTTATGACTATATAAGTTATTGGGGAGAAAGGAACAGGGACATCCAAGGCTGATCATTTTGAAAGTGCCACTTTATATTGCCAGCCTGCCTAATACAAGAAAACCATTAGTTGTTTCTACCAAATGGCAGGGAGCAATTACATGGCTCTCCAGATGTTGGGTTGAGCACATTTTTAAAACTACAAAAATCTGATTATGAGAAATAAAATTAGGGTGAGTTGACGCATACCACTTCCAAAATGACTTTGATAATCCTCAAAATATTATAATTCATCTCCAGACTGAAACTGCAAACTGAAAGATGCTTATCTGGGAATAAAAGTCCCAGACTTCTGGATATGAACACATTGGGTTGCATGCTACTATTTGATCCTGGGATGATTACGGGCCCTTCAGTACGTGTTTCAGAAACATGTAAAATGTATTTCTGAAATGTTATAAGATGTCTTGATGGAGCACAAAGGGTATATTATAAAAGTATGCAGTGTTCAGTACTGCATGAGGTAGAGAAATTGAATCTTTGCAGGTACATTCAAGGAGACTGATGAGGCTATCTATACAATTTGCTTTTACGGTTCAATGTCAATACGAGGTGAAAAAAAATCTGATTCTCTGAAGCATTCTCATTCTTACATATGTCCTTCTTTGCAGAGTACAAAAGTCACAAGATGGCCTTCCATTCAATCACATCCCATAAACATAACTGCAGAGATAACGTTTTAAAAGCGTTAGGTAATATCATCTAAGTGTGTAATCTCTTCTCACTCCATGTGAAATGGTTCATTTTATAGATGTAAAAAGCAATGGAAAAAAATCAGAAAAGCAGTTCATACCATTTTCAACCTGTAAAAATGAATTGAGATCACCCGAAACTAAAGCAGGTTTGAGAAATTGCAACAATACCAGCTGTGTGTGAGAAAACCCTCCTTTTTCAATAATGCTATCCCATCAGCCTCTACATTCGCTGAGATTAGGGAAGCAATGCCCTGTTGAAAGGGGAAAATCTGCAAATGTAAAAACAATTGGATTTTACCTGAGCTAATGCTCCTCTACAGATGCATCTACATTATAGAATTAATACAATTTGACTGCTGAGGCTCAATACTATGAAATAATGGGAATCATAGTTTTACAACGTCTTTAGTCTACTCTGCCAAAAGGTGCTCAACCAAACTACAAATCCTAAGATTCCATAGCATTGAGTCGTGGCAGTTACAGTTACAGTGGTGCCAAACTACATTATTTTAGATTGGAAATGCACCCTAGGAATCTCTAGATCCTCCAGTACATCTCTATGGTCAACTTCCACTGGATGACCTACAAATTCCTAAAGAGAACATTTAAATCAAACATATAAAAGTCACACAAGTAAATGTGAGGGGCTGCCTGTATCAATAACATCAGAAAAGTTTAGAAAATGAGATAATGGGGGGGGGGGGGAGTATTAAGAGTGAAAGAGATAACAATTTGAATTAAAATTCCTGTGAATATTTCCACTGATAATCAGTCGTAAAGATTCCTGATAATTTGTCAGGTTTCGAATATTCTCCTTTAACTGTAGTTCATGGAAGTTTCTCTTAAATTAAATGTCTCTAAAGAAAAGAGCACTTAATTATGGTTTTTAAATTAAACTTCTACATCAACATTCTAGTGCCAAACAGTGTATGGGTTGTCCCCAAGTTACAAACAAGACTGGTTTTGTAGGTTTGTTTTGAAGTTGAATTTGTTTGTAAGTTGGAACAGGTACATTTTTAAGTGTAACTCCATCTATCTATCTATCTATCTATCTATCTATCTATCTATCTATCTATCTATCTATCTTTGGATAACATAAGGGATGGTTAACACCCCTGTGGTTTCTTTTGCTGTCTAAGCCCCTGTCCAGAAGATTTCACCTCACTTACTGTCCCTGTGATACTGTAAATAGACTTTGGAAAATTTGGCTCGCTGTGGGAACAAAGATTGGTGACAAAGCTTCAGTGGAGACATCTTTTTCCTATGATAACTATTTCTGGAGTGATTTTCCCTTTCTAGGGGTAGATTTCTCTCACTTCCTGTTGTCTCACCCCCATTTGTCACTATGACTCAGGTGTTTGTAACCCCGAGGCCTGCCTGTATATCCAAAATTACGAGCGTTATTTAAAAAATATTTGCACCTTGGGGCCTCATCACACTAAACAATGAATCCACTTTAAATCCAGTGCTGCGGCCTGCATAATTTTGGGGTTTGTAGTTTAGGGATGAACCTTTAACAGCCTCACTAAACTACAAACTCCAGAATTTAGCAGGAGGCAGAAACTGGATTTAAAGTGGATTCATTCTCTAATGTGATGAAGTAGTTGGTTATATTAAGTCTTCTGTTGGCCATACTATCTTAGCGCTTTCTGTACTAAGCTGCTGTCTTCCCAGTTTCTACTGTGCAGATTTGAAAGTGTTAACATTAGTTGTTTTGCAACCGTAGTAAAAGAAAGAAATGGCTGCCCCCTTGTGATATGCATGAAAGAAGATTCATCTTCTTGTGCTCCAAGAGTGTGTCTGGTGCCAATACTCAGCCTGTATAGCTACTCGCATTTTCTATAGTAAGGAAAGTGTTTTTTGTAATGTGCGCTTAACACATTTGTACATCTAAACATTGAAATATCAGTCCCCATTTCCAGTATGAAATGGCACTGTCCATCAAATCCTGTATCATAGGCCCACTTAGTTTGACTGTGATGAACTAAATTCTGATCCCTTCTGATATCAGATGTTTGGAAAAAACAAGGGGGGAAAAGAGGGGAATAATCACATTGGACACTACTGAAGAAAAAATTACTGAACCATGAGCGTTTCAAACTAGAACTCATTGAGGCCTATACAATGCCTGCTTCACAGCAGCACAAAACATCTACATAGTGTTGCCATCTGTTTGTAGAGATTATTCATATTTCAAGAGCTTGGACGTTTCAACAGAGACATATAAGCAGAGAACAGACTTTCTCTTTTTCGTTTTAGGCAGGCAGAACTGTGTGTGCAAACATAAGTCATTATTGGATCCAGGTTTATGTGTGCAAAAGGAAAGAGTGTGAGTCATAGTAACTATGCTGAAAAAAACATTAATAAGAGTAAACCATTTTTTAAAAACACACAGCTATGCTGTTACTACATGACATAATTACTTCACAACCCAAAATTGTGATGGAGGTTAACAAGGACTATAACGGCGCCCTGTGACTTGTATTACAGCTCCATATTTTATTATTATTATTATTATTATTAAACTTTATTTGTACCCCGCTAGGATCTCCCAAGGGATTCGATGCGGCTTACAACAGGCCGGAGCCTGTTTAACAACTGAAATGAAATGATATTTAACAACTGAAATGAAATGATGATACTAAATTAAATACTCATGATCAATACATTGTATTCCAGGGGGCCTCTTTCAATGTGTTCTTCCTTTTGTAGCAATTATTCAAAAGTGAGCAGTAGAACACATGATTCATTTGTGACCTGACAGGACTCACCAATGCTGGACCGGGTTGTGGATCGCTCAATGATGGCACGCTTGCCCGGGTTGTTGAGCACGGAGCGCTTGGCCAATGACAGGTCTGCAGTGACGCGGGTGATGGAGATTCTGAAAGACAGGATGACAGGCAACAAGCATGTGAGCCTCCCTCACTTGGAGACGAGGGCTGGGCTGGGGTGTCAGGGACTCTCTTCCTTTCAGAGAAAAGAGTTCTTACCGGCCATCAAATCTGTGCTTCAGGAAATCAAAGAGAGCTTTCTGCATCATGTCTGTCACCTGAAAGAGAAGAAAGACAGGGATGCTGAAGCTGTTTTGGAAGGGGGACTGCTAATTGCATTTGGAAGTCTGAATTTACAGCAGAATTTCAACACATACCTCATAACCTTTTAGGGAGGGTCCCACCAGCACAACTGGCCGCATGGAGGGCACGACATCATATGGGGGGATGTGCTCAGTCTGAAAATGAAAGGACATACTATGCCACTGTAGAAGTAGAAGCAAAAGGGTACAGTACAACCCCTGCATCCATGGGGAACATGTTTCCAGGCTTAGTGTAAATATGTAATGGCACAGATAATAGCAAACATATTGAAATAAAAGACTTCTGCCTCAAAATGGAATAGAAAAGTAGTGGAAGACCTAGAAAATGCCTAGGAAAGCTCAATCTTGTCGGACATGGATAAATGAAACGGTGAATGCCAATCCTTTGGACATGGGAGGTCATATTGTATAAAGAAGTATGGATTTGAAGCTTCAATCACCATGACCACAAAAGAACAGGCACTAGATCCCCCTTGATCCTCTCACTTTCCATTTTTAGTGAGGAGTCAGGTTTCTATCTTTCTACAAGGCAAGTCTCTCTCTCCCACGGCACACACTGTTTCTGAGGCATAGAAAACCCTCTCCACCGCCAACCACAGCGCACTGCAGACTACCAACTGGCTATTCCAATCCAAGGCAGCTACTCCACTGGGGATCAGGTTCTAGCATCAAATCCAATTTGTTCCAAGTTAGACAGAATAAGCTCGAAATTTTCCTCCCTAACCTAAGAAATTGGAGGGAATCACCAGCATCCAAGGGGGAATCCCACCATGAAGTCTTTACCTGCTTTTGCTTCTGTTTTGCTTGTTGGAAAAGAAAGAAAACATCAAGTTGTTAACAGTTAAGAATCAGCAAATATGAAAGACTACAGGAAGGATGGGAACTCTTGAGTCAATGGTCTACCTTCTAATTTTAGCTTTCCCCCCAAAATCATACACATCATGTTACTAAATATTTTTTTTTAAGTTGAGGCATAGGTTAAACCAGGCATGAGCAGACTTTGGCAGTCCAGGTGTTTTGGACTTCAACTCCCACAATTCCTAACAGCTGGTAGGAAAAGGAAAGAAATGACCTGGAATGGCTGTTTTTAAAAAAAGAAATAATTCTGGAAAAGTAAAAACTTGGTGAGAAAAAGGTAATGGTGGAACTTTCCCTAACAAGAGTACTTTTGGCTCCCTCCAACAAATTGGGGAAACATTTCATTTTAAACCTGAGAGCAACAAATGCCAATGCCGGAATTGGCCAAGCATCCATATCATTACCAAAAATCCACTTCCCTATCACCTCCTGTTTGAAAAGAAGCCTGGCCCCCACGCTTAAAATACACAAAGAATGCTCTACTCTAGACTTGAACCCAACCTAATGTAATGAATACAATGGCTTACCACATTTTAAGTGTAGCACTCAGTGGAATTTATTAAATGTGATGAAGTGGTAGCTTTAGGATGTTAGCCAAAGATGAAAGAAAGTTAAGATCTTTTCTGTGTTGGAGTTTTTTGGGAGAAAAAGATGGCAGCTCAGGGTGGTGGAGTTTTGTGTGAAATAAAGGTCCAAATTCATTTTATATATATTAGAAAATGTTTTCTTTGAAAAGGGGAGTTGCTCAAAATCTCTTAGAAAACAAAAAATAATGACCACACACTAAGAAGATAAAAACTGCATCACCCTCATGGAATTTTAATTTGATTTATCTCATCTTCCTCACACTATAGTGAGATTATTACTCTCGTCTGCTGTTCTGTGAAATGGACACACTATTTTGTATTGTTGTGAAGCATGCTAACACTTTATCAGGTACTGTACACACACTTTCAAGCATACTACTGCTGGTATAAAGTGCTAGGAAGAATTCAAGCAATTCAAGAAAGATGGATTCTGCATCTAGTAACACATTTACACACCACACGGGCTCATGGCAAACATCCAGCCCTGTTTATGTCTTTACCTAGTGATGGGGGAGGCGATCGCCGGTTGCTGATGGCGGGATTGCCAGACTGCCTGGTTGAGGAAGAAGACAAAAGTTAGTACAACAGTGTGGACTAACTAAAAGGTTAAGTTAATGTATGCTTATTTGTAACTGGAAATACATGCTTAGAAGATACAGGAGCAACCTGTACAGAGGACGCTCTCACAAAGTCTAGTTATACTGAAAGAAGAAGAGTCAGTGTTACACAGCTGAGATGACAGAATCACAGAGCTGGAAGAGACTACATAGACCTTGCAGTCCAACCACCTATCATGCAGTCATCTGTATATGCACAATAAGAAAAATATGCACAGTTCTGCAGTGGATTGAGTTCAGCTAGCATGCAGAACTTTAACAGTGGAGGGCGCATCATGTACTTCTATATTTAGAGACAGACGCCCACCATCCACAGAAAACTATCACACATCCTACTAATTTGTGCATCCCTTTTGTCCTTGCTCTTCTCACCTGGCTTTCTGCTCCTGCTTCAGCCTTATGGCCTCCAGCCGCTGAGGGCTGGGGATGAAGGCGATGTCTCCCCCCTCCTTCACTAGCCGCCCGATCCACCAGTCATTGCTGTACTTCTGGAAAGACATTGTTGTACAAGGTCAGAGACCACATGCCCACCTAGCTTCTAAGTTCATCTCTATACATATTCTGGAAAGCACATCAGTTGGAGAACTGGTCCCTTCAAATTAGAGAAGGAGAGTAACTGACGGTGAACAGATGGGTGAGCACTAACAATCCCTTTACTCATTAAAACACTCAGGGCAGCAACTAAGCTCAGAAACAATGGTAGGAATTGTTTAGTGCAGCCATTTCTCCTGAACCTACAAGTGACTAGGAAAGGGAAGAAGTTTGAGAAGATCCTCCACAGCAGTGGTTCTCAACCTGGGGTTCCCAGATGTTTTGGCCTTCAACTCCCAGAAATCCTAACAGCTGGTAAACGGGCTGGGATTTCTGGGAGTTGTAGGCCAAAACACTTGGGGACCCAAAGGTTGAGAATCACTGATCCTTTTAAAATTTAAAAACAGAATTGTGGAGTTGTTGTAGGTTTTTTCTGGCTATATGGCCATGTCCTAGGAGAGAATGCCTCTAGAACATGGCCATATAGCCCCCCCCCCCCAAAAAAAACCCTACAACAACCCAGTGATTCCAGCCATGAAAGCCTTTGACAATACATTAAAATTGTGGAGTATCATTGAAGCATGGGGTGCGAAAGTGTTGCTCCTGAACTTCTGGTTCTCCCACCACAGCAACACCATGATGAGCTTTCCTTCCACTCCTGAAAACAAAGATTCCATTGAAATGACCAGTTTTCACCCGTCTCATATTCCTCCAGCATTCTCACCTCTTTGATGTGCAAGAAGTCTTTGGCTTCAAAGTTGATGGCAGAGCCCTGTACGGGGCATTCCTCATCCAATGCACCACAGTAGCTGACATTTGTACGGACAGCAAAGGCGACTGGCTTGTGCTGTGGGGCAGGCGGGGAGAGGTGGACAAAAAAAAATCAGACAGGATTGTCAGTATTATTGTGTCTACTGGGGTGCTGCCGCTTCCCGTCCCAGAACAAAAAAGATCAATTAAGTATCATCACAATCAAGTTCAGCTCCAGAACACTGGAAGATCAACCACTGGAGTTCAAGTGGGGGCTCATAGAAATTGAGAAATTTGGACAAAATCTCAAAAGTCATATTATGTTACATTGTTTCTCCTCCTGTGGAATTGTTAATTTTAATTTTTTAACATTAATCACTGGATTATAAGAATTGGGTAGAAGAGATTATTTTTTCCTGATTAAATAGATGTAATTATTATAATTCATTACCATTATTGGATAGATATTAAAGCTAATCTTTTATTAACTTTCTTTAGAATAATTAGCTAATGTGACAAGCTATATTTCATGTGTGTATTACCAAAGGGATAGATTATAGAAAGAAGTGTATTATATGAATAAACTAAAGAAGATGGAAGAGACTTAATTAGAAAGTAACTGTAGCAGATGGGTAAAACTGAAGTCACTTTTACTTTTTACTTCCCTTTCCCCCTCTTATTTTCTCTGTCTCTGCACCTTTTTCTCTTTTTTCTCTTTTCTTTACACAGGTACCCAAAATGCTTGGGATCATAAGTATATTGGATTTCATTTTTTCCTAATTTGCATATACATAAATAATGGAATATCTTGGACTTAAGTCTAAACACAAACTTTATTTATTTACATAGTCTATGAGAATATTTTGAGAATTTGTATACATTAATGCATTAAGGAGTAAACATTTCACTTTCTCATCCAACCATGTGGACGAATTTGGAGTATTTCAATTTTCAGAATTCTGAACAAGGGAGGCTAAACCTCTCTATATAATACAGTGGAACCTCTACTTCAGAGTCTCCCAACCTAAGAGCATTTTGAGTTAAGACTTGTTGCCAGAACTGGGTTTCACTTTGACATAGGAGCAGCATTTTGATTTAAGAGCTGACACCAGAGGGACCGCTAGCACAAGAGCAGTCATGTAGCCGGGGGGGGGGGGGGGG